TGACAAACAGGACAGACAAGACATGAAACAAAGGACTCTTGATTCTTGCCAAAACAAGTGTGGTTATGGCTTTATCAAAAGGCATCTTCTGAGGCCAGGACAATATGGCACCATCCCTGAAGCTAAATCAGTTATTCTTGAAAAGTAAACTCACAACTCTCAATAGTAGACTGGCATTTAATAGAGGGATATGAAGAAGAAGAGGATGCTGAGATGAAGCCACACACACATAGCCAAGAAGAATGGACAGCTGAATTTAAAAAAAAAAATCAACAATTTCCAGAATTTAAAATCCTGAATCATGACAAGACACTAGTGGAATTCAGGTGTTTCTGGTACATGTACTTGCTCTTACCCAATGTGAGGTTGAACTATTGACCTTGTGTACATCCTACTTCACAAATGAGTCTGTCAGATACGCTAAGCCTATAGGCTGAAGGTGATGCCACAACACTACGGAGAAACCTTGGTGACTATCCAGGCAGCTGGCTATTTCTGTCAACTCACAAATTTTTTGGAAGTTGCTTGCATGCATTTCCTGTGTTTTTAGGTAATATTATTTTCCTTCTTGGATCTCTGAGGGAGTTAAAGATTAGTTAGTTATAGTTGAAGATTAGTTAGGATAGAAAGTGAATTAGGTATATTTTTGATTTACCAAAATAGGATAGATAATGGAATTATTTTCTCTGAATTTGTCAAATACAAATGGACTAGACATGGTTTAGGTATTTATTACTTATATATATGGTATATAGTTATTGTACTTTTGTATATAGCTTTTCTTATGTTAGTTATCATCTTTTTCCTTTTTTATTAAAATAGAAAAAGGGAAATACGGTGATATTTTATTTGTACTGAAATGTGATTTTATTTGTATGTTAATAAATAAAGTTGCCCAGGAGTCAGAGCTAATAGCAAGCCATAGCAGAGCCATTGGTGGCGCATGCCTTTAATCCCAGCTCTTGGGAGGCAGAGCTAGGCGGATCTCTGTGTGTTCAAGGATACAGCCAGCATGGAGACACATGCCTTTCATCTCAATACCAACCATAGAAGACCTGGAGGTCTGTACAGACAGGCAGTGACAAGGCGGTCATGTGGTTGGGATTACAACCAATGAGAAGGCAGAATAGAAAGTCTTTATAAAGACGAACACACAGGAAGTAGCTCTATTGGCTGAAGAGGATAGCTGAAGCAGAGTGAAGGGTAAGGCTCTTAGCTCTGACTTCTTGGGCTTTCATCTTTGCATTGGTTCTGTATTTCTTATTGAAAATGACGGTTATTTCTACAAAAAGGAGATCAAGGGGATACGAAATAAAAAGGAAGAAGTCAAACTTTCACTATTTGCAGATGATATGATAGTATAATTAAGTGACCCCAGAAATTCTACCAGGGAAGTCCTACGGCTAATCATCTCCTTCAGTAAGGTGGCAGGATACAAGATTAACTCAAAAAAATCAGTAGCCCTCCTAATTACAAATGATAAATGAGCTGAGAAAGAAATCAGAGACACATCACCCTTTACAATAGCCACAAATAATATAAAATACCTTGGGGGTAACTCTAACTAAGCAAGTGAAAGACCTGTCTGATAAGAACTTTAAGTCTCTGAAGAAAGAAATCAAAGAAGATATCAGTAAATGGAAAGATCTCCCATGCTCATGAATAGACAGGATTAACATAGTAAAAATGGCAATCTTACCAAAAGCAATCTATAGATTCAATGCAATCCCCATCAAAATACCAACACAATTCTTCACAGACCTTGAAAGAACAATACTCAACTTTATATGGAAAAAAAAAAAAACATAGGATAGCTAAAAGAATCCTGTATAATAAAGCAACCTCTGGAGGCATAATGATCCCTGACCTCAAGCTCTACTATAGAGCCACAGTAATAAAAAACAGCTTGGAACTGGCATAAAAATGACATGTGGACCAATGGAATCAAATTGAAGACACTGACATTTATCTGCACGCGTGTATACACACTTAATTTTTGACAAAGAAGCCAAAACTGTAAAATGGGAAAAAGAAAGCATCTTCAACAAATGGTGCTGGCATAACTAGATGTCACCATGCAGAAGATTCCAAATAGATCCATATCTGTCACTATGAACAAAACTCAAGTCCAAGTGGATCAAAGACCTCAACATAAATCCAGTTACACTGAACCTAATAGAAGAGAAAGTAGGAAGTAGTCTTGAATGCATTGGTACAGGAGACCACTTCCTAAATATAACAACAGTAGCATAGACACTGAGGGCGACAATTAATAAATGGGACCTCTTGAAACTGAGAAGCTTTTGTAGACCAAAGAACATGGTCAATAAGACAAAATGACAGCCTACAGAATGGGAAAAGATCTTCACCAACCCCACATCTGACAGAGGGTTGATCTCCAAAATATATAAAGAACTGAAAAAGCTAGACTTCAAAATACCCAACAGTCCAATTAAAAAGTGGGCTACAGAGCTTAGCAGAGAATTCTCAACAGAAGAATCTCAAATGGCTGGAAGACATTTAAGGAATTGCTCAATATCCTTAATCATCAGGGAATTGCAAATCAAAACAACTCTGAGATACCATCTTACACCTGTCAGAATGGCTTAGATAAAAAAAAAACATTGAAGAAGACAGCTTATGTGGGAGAGGATGTGGAGCAAGAGGAACACTGCTACACTGTTGGTGGGAATGCAAACTTGTACAGCCACTCCGGAAAGCAATACAAGTTTCTCAGAAAATTGGGAATAAGTCTTCAAGACCCAGCTATTCCACTCTTGGGCATATACCCAAGAAGTGTTCAATCTTACCACAAAGACATATGCTCAACTATGTTTATAGCATTGTTTGTAATAGCCAGAACCTAGAAACAACCTAGATGCCCCTCAACTGAAGAATGGATAAATAAAATGTGGTACATATACACAATGGAGTGTTTTTTACTCCTCAGCAGTTAAAAAAAAAAAAACGATATCATGAAATTTGCAGGCAAATGGATAGAACTAGAAAATATCATCTTGAGTGAGGTAACCCTCAGAAGGACAAACATAGTATGTACTCACTCATAAGTGGATACTAGATGTGAAGGAAATTATGGCCAGACTGCAACCCACAGCTTCAGAGAGGCTAGCTAACACGAATGGCCCAGCGAAGGAGAAGTGGATGAGATCTACATGAGCAGACTGGGAGTGGGGGGGTTGGCATAGGGTGAGGAGGGGGGATTACAACATAGGGCAATGGGAGGGTCAAGCTGGAACAGGGACAGAGTGGGAGGGGAGGGAGGGATATACCATGATAGATCATGGAAATAGGAAGAGACAGGGGAAGAAATAGGAAGAGGGCTGGGGAGGCACTCAGGAATCCACAAGGATGACAACATCTTGGACTGCTGGCAGTGGTCCAGAGGTGCCTGGACTGGTCTACTCTGGTGGCCAGTCTAGTGAATACCCTGTCATCATAGAGCCTTTGTCCAGTGACTGATGGAGGCAGAGATCCACAGCCAGGCAACCAGGCTGAGCTCTGAAAACCCAATCGATGAGTGAGAGGAAGGATTCTGCAGGCAAGGGACATCGAGATCATAATGGGAAGATGTGCAGAGATGACTGGTCACACTAGTGGAATCCCATAAACTGTGGACTAGTGGCTGTGGAGCTCCCCATGGGCCAGACTGGGCCCTCTGCAAACAGAAGACGGTTGTTTGGCTCGAACTGTTTGGGAGACACCCAGGCAGGGGGATTGGGATCCATCCCCAGTGCATGGGCAGGCTGTTGGGAGCCTGGTGCCTGCACTGTGGTGCCTTGCGCAGCCTTGGTGCAGTGGGGAGGGGCTTGGACCTGCCTAGGCTCAATGTGCTGGGCTCTGCAGACTCCCCATGGGAGACCTTGATTTGGAGTATATAAGGTGGCTTGGGAAGGAGGGCTAGGGGGTGGGAGCAGAGAGGAGGTTGGATCTGTGGGTGGTATATAGAGTGAGTAGAAAATTTCTTAATTAGGAAAAGTGAAAAAGAAAAAACACAAAAGCCAGGCGGTGGTGGTGCACGCCTTTAATCCCAGCACTCGGGAGGCAGAGGCAGGCGGATCTTTGTGAGTTCGAGGCCAGCCTGGGCTACCAAGTGAGTTCCAGGAAAGGCGCAAAGCTACACAGAGAAACCCTGTCTCGAAAAACCAAAAAAAAAAAAAAAAAAAAGATGAAAATTAAAAACAGAACATAGTTTTTCTTATTCATCTATCATCTATCTATCTACCCATCTATCATTTTCTCTCCACTCTCAAACATCTCAATAACACAGTTCCAGTGACATTCTACTCACTTGTGTCTACACTGCTACAGGAGGACAAGTGTTTTTTCTGAGAAGTCTACAACCAGGAGCCTGGACTGAAAGGAGACTTTCAGTCATTGCCACTTGGAATGTTTCACATTACCTGACAAGTCATGAGTCATGAAGAAAACTGGAAGGGGAAGGACAGAAGCAGTCATCTGGCCTATAAAAAAGGACATTATTATTGCAGTTTTGCCAAGCACTACAAAATATAAAACAATCTGCATGGAGGAACAGGTCTACTGAGCTGGGCGTGTAGTTGCAAGCTACAGCACTGGCTCAGTGTAAAAGAGGTCCCAAGAGAAAGTGCTGACAGCTCATGTGAATGCAGGAGGAGAGCTAAACAGTCTCCAGGGTCATTTTCAATAAAGACTGACATATTAGTGCTTTTTGAGGCAGTTATAATAAGAAATGTATATGAATGCATACTACACTTATGCCATAATACAGCCTATGAACCCACCAGTGAATGATTGAAAAGAATAACAATCAAAATCCAAAATGAGGAAACACACAAGATTTCCCCATATTTCAACAAAATGCCTCATTCCTATCTGTGAAGATACACTGAGATGGGAAATGGGCTGTTCTTTTTTTTTTTTTTCAAATATAAAGCAAAATTGTAGGATAAAAGAGCCAGCCAAAGAAACATGCTGACCCTGAAACCAGAGCCAAAGAAACACACTCTGCCCCTGACTCAGCACAAAAACCAACCAATCCCTGAGCACAAAATCTAACCAATCTCCAGATTTTCCAAACTAGGGAGTTAAAATCTGAGAAGCTTCCTCCTGTGAAAACTGTCCCACTAAGAAGCCCTACATAAGCCCTTGTACTTGTTCAGTTGGGAACTGCCTTTTTCCACCCTGGTGGAGGCAGGTACCCTCCTCAAATCTTCCCTCCCAATAAATCTCTTGAATGAGGTTTGGGTGAGACCTTCTTTTGCCAGAATGGAGCAGCTCAGAGAAGTAACATTAGCCAGAGTGGGAGCAGAGCAGAACAGAACTGTAACACTTTCGCTGGGGAAACCTTCCTGTAGTAAACCAGAGTTGTTACATTGGAGAAACCTTTCCCTGGAGCAAGCATGTAAGCTGCTATGCATAAGTTGACTTTGTAGTATTCCTTGACTCTCAACTGCCAGGATCCCATTCCACCCAGCTGCAACACTTACAAAAACACCTACATTGCTTTTTTTCATGTAACCCAATACCACACACCAACAAATGCCTTCCTGCTCCAGGTGTTCCATCTCTATTTAGCCTTTTCTCAGAAAAAAAAAGCATGGTGGAGGATGCTAGAAGCCCGGAATTCTGCAAAGACTGTTGCCAGGAGGAAGAAGGTTCAGTAACTGCCACACTCATTATACTTGTGGATGAAGAGAGAAGGCAGCCAGACTCAATGCCTAATAACCACTATAATATAAGATGGGAGGCAAGATAAAAAGAATGCCCACATGTCTGAAGCCAGAGTGAGATACACAGTGAGTTCTCAAACAACAGGGGCTACAGAGACTTGCCTATCTCAGGAAAACAAAAGACCAGAAGAAGAGAAAACATCCAGAGGTAGATGTGTCTGGGCAGCAAAACAGCAACAAGTTTGAAAGAGGTAACATGTGCAGCCAGGCTCACCATAATCCCCTCAGGTGCTTGCTTCTACCAGCAGCATCCAATTATAAGCATCTTCACGATGAACAGAAGACCGTTGCTTCTGGAAGTTCACCATGATACTGCCCACCACTACCACTGTAAGGATACAAGGTCATGCCAGTCCAAGAATCAAACCCTACCAAAAAGGGATGAAAAGCAGAGAAGAGAGATGTGAGTAGTACCTGGGCTGACACAGACTAAGGAAGGCCTCTAGGATAAGACAAATAAAGAGTCTTGGAGTTCATCTCCAAGGTGCTCTCAATACTCTCAGTCCTGTCCTTCAACACAGCCACAAAGGAGCCCTTTGATCTCTTCTTTGGGTCATAGACAGATGCTGACAGCTCATAAATCAGATCAACTGAAACTGTTTCTCACCTGAGGTCCCTCTACCTAGGTGTTCCTCTCCATGCTGCCCAAAGCTACTGACTGTATTATAGTGTATGCTGATGGAACACTTTCTGCTTGGAAGGTGACACCTCATAGGAACAGTAGACACAGCTTCATCAGGGAACCTTATATGAAGCACTGCCAATACCCTGGACTAAACCTTATGGGAAAGGGGACTTCCATGCATGCCAGGATTGCCTCCTTTCACTACTCCACACCTCAGCTTCCATGGCTACAGTTGGTCTCCTGGCATCCTCTCCAACCAATCCCATCTTTTAGCTCAGAATTCCCATTGGCTGCTGCCCCATTTATGACATCAATCTCCCTCCAGCCCTACTACCACCTGGTAGGTTCTTGTGGTTGCCATAGAGATGCCTATAAACAAATTTGGATCATCACAGATCATCACAGACAGCACAGTAAGTGCTGTCTGATACTGGACACATTTGCCACTCAGGTCAGCTGATCAGACAAGGACAACCAATTATCTTCCTCCATTGTACTGTGGGTTGCTGATACTCTTCCTCCAACCATGGCAGGTAAGGAAAGAAACTTTAAAACATTTCTTTTGATCACTTCTCCCTTATATTTACTATACTTTTAAATTTTTGATTAACAGGAATACTATTGATGCTGATAGAGATAGCTGGAATTGAATGTCACATTTAGATTTGGTTCCTACTGGGGTTAGAAAATATGGAAATAAAAGAAGACAAACTACAGAGGTGACTCTGGAGGTACACAAAGGCTGTTTGGAACTGAATGCTACAGATAACCACAGATTAAATAAAGAGGCACAAGACATTATCATATCCCAAGCCATTGTTAGGCAGCCACACTGTTGAGATAGTCTAGGTAAAGGTAACCTGTCACATATAGAAAACAACATCCTCCTCTGATCCCTGGCTCTTACAGTCTATCCAGCCTATCTTCCACAGCATTCTCCACATCTTTTGAGCACTGGTTATGTTGGATGTTATCAACATGGGCTGGGTACTCCACAATCAGCTGTTCTCTGGACAGAACTGACACACCAGTATGTGCAGGAATTCTCACAAGGATTCTGAAATAGAAGAGTTACAAGAAATTAACAATTACTGAGGAAGTGTTCATTGAAGAATCAATTTAACCAACTATTAAATTATGAAACAATCTTATTCAGAGATGAACGCCATACTATATTATTAGTCCCAAGATGTCATGTGAAACATAGGCAATCAACATGAAATGTTATCATCAGGTTATATTCATGTAGTCATATATGCATATGTGCTTAATGGTTATATAAAAACAAGAAGTAATGACTTATACAAGGAGTAGAGGGGAACAGGAAGAGCTAGAGGAGGAATGAATTCTTAGCTAAATACAGTACATATCTATGAAATTCCTGATACATCATTTCCTTAAGAAAGCTCAGATTAGATACAAGTCTGGTGGACATGGAAAAAATCTACAATACAGAGGCAGGCCAGTCTGTGTGATTTCAAAACCAGACTGACCTTATCTCTCTACATAGAGGAAGATTGGCACAGAACAAGACAAAGGCACAGGCTTGAGAAGCTGTCTAAGGTTCTCCTACTTTAAACACTTCTGTTCTGGGATACAGGTGTGACACAGTACCACAGCAGGTACAAGAACAAGACAAAGCAGGGCAAAGAAGGGTGTTGTCTAGGTCAGAGCAAGAGTCAACATGGATCAACTAGGAAGTCCATGCCCACACAGGAAGAACAGGCAGCTCATTAAATGAGTGTCATCCTATCCATTACCAAGAATCATTCTTAACCATTTTGTTTGGGATATGTAAGGGAACATAGGTCTTAGACTCTCCCAGACAGTACAAACTGATGATAACACAGCTCCCCACAGGAAACTAGAAGGATTCCTTCTCACCATTTTTCCTACTGTCCTCTTGCTTCCTACAGAAAATTTCCAAAGTGCACCTTTATTTGGGACAGAATGTGCTCTGCAGCCCTCTGTGCCTGTGCTGAGGAATGCCACGCCCTTATCAGGAAGTGTGTGCAACTTCTCCAGAGTCTCCACCCCAGCTGTGAGTGCAGCATGGCTCCTGCCATCAGACTCCAGCACTTGTTGCCAGCAGCTCATGGACAGTGCCTACCCTTACCTACCAGCTGGCACAACCATGGTGACTGCACTGACTGACCAGGGCCAGAGCTCTGCCTCAGAACTCTCCTATCCAGGTGTTCTCCAGTGGGATCCCACGGGAAGCACTGACCAGAGGGGAGCTGCACTCCAGGACTTCACTGTAACTATCACTGACCAGAATACCACATTCTCCTCCTTCTCTAGGACAGCCCAGGGTGATAATATTTTAGATCCCAATGCCTTAGTCCTTGCCTGTCCAACTTGTCCACTTTCTGCCAACCTTGTTCAGGCCACACCACCACAGGTGCCAAATCAAGGATACAGCCTGGCACCTTCCCACCAGGAGGGTAGCCAAGTCTATTACTATGACCTCAACAGCCTGGGCCCTCTGATGGCTGGAGAACTTGGGCAGTGCCTGCAGGCCTGTGGCTCTGTGTCATACTCTGAATGTCAAGCCCCTGCCCTGCAACCAGAGATGGTGATGATGCTAAAGGAGATTCAGCCAACAAATGTCCAAACACCCTTCTCCACCTCTGCCATCTACTATCCCACACCTGCTCAAGACATGCCAGACACCAGTCTTCAAGGTGAGTAGAGCCAAGAGGTGAGTGAGTGACATCAGCACTCAAAGGAGACACAGCTCTACCTTTCATCAGTGGATTTCCACATGGGAGAAAAATGGGAGTCCTGAGAGCTCAGCCTTGTTCTGGCTCACCATCTTCAGTCTCTATGATGACTGACAATGCAGGGCAATGACTGGCATCCATCCTCCATTAAGACATGTCCATGGAGCACACCACAGACACACACATCACTGACCTAGCTAATCAGTCCCTTGCACCATTACACAGCAATCACCTCCTTCCTAATCTATTGCTCAGGGATTTAGAGGACACCAAGGCATTTCTGTTTGATAACACTTTATTTTCTCTGTGTTGAATTTTGACTCTAGAGCATTGCAACTCCAAATCTGTCCCAGAAGAAGTATTACTGCCAGATTCCAAGTGCTGGCCCTGCCATTCTCTTACAAATATAAGTACATTGAGAGTCCAGTATACCTGGTGTACCAGAGTACAACTGCTAAGTTGGGCAAAGCTTCTCTCTCTTCTCTCTCTCTCTCTCTCTGTCTCTCTGTCTCATTCTCTCACTCTCTCACTCTCTCACTCTCTTGCTCTCTTTCCTTTTCTTTAGCTATGGTTATTCAGAGGTGAGCCAAGGCTATGCATGATCATTAGGACATGTTCTCTACTACACAGTCACACTCAAACCCAAAGATTTCACCTTCTTAAACCAATTTTCACATCATTAATAACAAGGTTGTAAAATGTGAGGCTGGAGGAAATCCAGGGCTGTTGAAAGGATTGCCTTGCAGGAGTGAGGAACTGGGTTTGGATACCTTAACCCACTTAAAAAGCCAGGCTACTGGGGGCATTTGAGTTATAGCAAGAAGTTGGCAGACACAAGGAAGTTCTTGAAAATTATGGACCAGACAAGCTGCCTAATAGCAAACTTCCAAGGAAATGAGGGTCACTCTTTCAAAAACATGGGAAAGGAAAGGGAGAACCACACAGCAAGGGAATTCTCTAACCTCCCCATGATCACTATGCATGCACACAACATACAAACACTGAGGAAAACACAAACATCAGAGAAAACATGATATCACATGGTTACCAGAAATATCAGAGTGGTCACAAGTCTCCCAACAGAGATGCTACTCAAGGAGAGCTCATGGGAATGCCTTTCCCACTGCAGTAGGGGTCTGAGTACTGAGGTGCACTGAAAGTGAGGAGCACCTCACTTACCAGGCACTGACTTCTTCCTTGACTCTTTTTCAGTGATGAAAATGGAGACATCTCTGGGATTTACAACTTCAGGCCAGACACTCTGTCTGCTGCAGAGTCCAGACCTCTGCAATGCCTGCACCCAGGATGTCCAGATGAAGACACCACCTGTCATTGGGGACAGGTCATTAACTGCCCCCATTGACAGTTCTTCAGAATTCCTGCCCTTGCCTTCTGCTCCAAGCTTGGAACAAACAGAGAATAATGACTTGGATTTGATGACAGATGATCTATCAACTTCTCTGGATGCCTATGAGGGCATAAAAGAAAACCAAGACCCCTCACTTCTCCCTTTAGCACATGCCAACATGCAGCAGGCCCTGAACTACACTGATTCTGGGGGCCTTAGGCAGAAGCTTTCTCCTGACAATGCCACCTTGGGAAGCAGCAGCCTTGATCAGGATGAGCCTGCAGAGCATGTGATGGGCTCCAGCATGGACTTTGCAGACATGACTACACTGGTGGCAGACATTCACCTTCCCCAACTCTTCAACTCCCTCACTGAACTGAACCTATTCCAAGATCCCACAGCAACCCAATCCAAAAACATCAGGATGGATCAGGCCCAGGAAAGCTCCAGCACCATCAGTGTACCCATGGACCAAGTGAGAAAGAATGGTCAGAAAGCCTCTGAGATGCTTGATGGGTCTCCTCAGGCCAGAATCCAGCTCCAGGACCTGGTGGAGGGAGAAGAGGCTGTGGGCAGTGCTGGGTCCAGTGAAGGGGCTATTGACAACATGCCCAAGCACTTGGAGAGCAAAGCCCAGAAAGTCACAGCCAGCAGGCCCAGCAGAGCTAGGGCTCAGGGGCAAGACAAGACCAAGAGATCCAGAGAAAACAACTGCAAGAAAACAGAGGAGCTTAAGCAGTCAAGAAACAGAGTCAAGGCAGAAGAAAAGACCACCATGCCAAAGAACAAGAGGAAGAGGAATCCACCTGAGCTCAGCCACAACAGCTTTAAAAAACCTCGAACTCACCTCGGCATGCACATGCTGGCATCTGTGCAGGTCTTTCACCCACTGGGAAAGAAGAGTGAGGACAAAACTGGCATCTCTTCCTCCCGGGCTCGGCTAAACTTCAGTAGCAACAAAGATCCCAGAACAGGCCCAGTCAACACATCACTTCTGGATGTGCCATGTGATGGCCAAGGCCCTATTAAGGCCCTGGGTGATGCTCAGAGACCAGAAAGCAGTGCTCACAAGGAGTGTCCATCGCCATCCCACTATGAGCTGCCCCCACCTGGGAAGGTCAAGTTAGTACCACTGCCTTTCCCAGCCCTGGACAAGCCTCAAGCCAGACCTGTTTCTAGAAAGCCTCTCTCCCTGGCTTCACGCAGACCCACTACAGTTTACCCTGTGAGGCCTCATTCCTACTTGGCTCAGTCTACCATACCCAAGCCATCCCAACCAGCTCCGGCCAGAACTTCTTTGATGGCCTCTGACAAGCCAGTTCTGCCTATTGCTACCAGTGCCACACAAGATAACATCACCAACCCCATCCAGTGTTGCCCTGGGCCTCAGCCAGCTGTCCGTAGGCCAGTATCCTACAGGGCATCATCTCACCCTTCACTACAGAGGGAGCTTGCCTCTGCTGACAAGAACAAGGCCCCATCACCTCCCAAACCTCAAATCCAGTATCTGCTGCAAGACTTCAGCCGCCAACCAATTCCATGGAGGCAAGTTGACATTCCAGGGCCAGTCATCTCACAGCCCATCACAGAAGAGCAGAGGCCAGAGAGGGAGGCCATGAAAAGGCGGGCTCAACAGGAGAGAGAGAATGCCGCCAAGTACACTTCTCTGGGCAAACGGCAGCTTTTCCTTCAGAGGGAGAAGGATATGGAAATTTCTCGATATTATGGCTATGCAATGTAAGGGCAGGCCAGGTTTTTGGAGCAAAGTGCTTTTCAATGTGGACAAGAAGAGACATAAATACGATACACATGTACACATGGGGTTTAAAGACTTAAATGAAATGTATAGATACACGGGTCCAAATGTAGGAATACAGATGACTATGTAGATATAGATGGATATACAAAATGTCTATATTCACATATATTTGAGTACTTAGTAAAACTCCCTAAAAAGTCTTAAGTCTGTTATTTCATTTGTGAGTAATATATCTTTCAATATTTACCTTAACTTTGATAATTTAATTTTTACATTTTCTAAGTATAATATCATATTCTATATTAAATAAAACTCAAAATATTTTAAATATTAAATCAATTAAATGTTCTAGTTGTATTAAAATTATTATTCTGGAGTTTTTCATTCACTGGACATGGTATGTCTTGAAGCACATACTGAGTATTGAGCACACCTCCTCCATATCCACAGTCTGACCATTTCTTACCTCTCCCCATAGCCCTTAGACAACATTTTTCTTCTACAGAGCTTTGCCTCTAATTTCATGAAACATACACACATAGGATTTCATTTATGTAAATATAATCTAGGAATCACATATTGTTGGCAGCAGTAAGTTTGCTGCCTTAATTTTAAATGCCCTTTTTTGTCCTGTCCCAGTTAAGTTGTTTGTGTGAAAAATGTGCAGTTGGGTTCTGGAGGGTGCTGGGGATCAGTTCTCCTGTGGTTTTTCCTGTTTGGAAAACAGTATCCGGCTTGCCTACGGATACAGAGTAACCATTCCTTGACTCCGGCTGTTAGAGGGGTATATAAACCCATGTTGGTATGAATAAAGAGAGCTGCTTCCCTGATGAACTGAAACTGGGTGTCTAGAGTGCTGTTTAACCTCGGCATAACCTCGGAGTCCCTCCCCAGATTTCACGCTCCAGCTGCGCGGTCGGGGAAACATATGAAAGAAAACATGGAGAGTTTACTGAGCCTGGTTAATTTATATGATAATCTCTACAGATTTTTTTCCTGAACAAAACATAATTGCATTCATTTTATGAATTAATAATTTTCCACCATGTTAATACATCACATTTTCTTTATACCTTTCTCTGTTGTTGACACCCAGGCTATTTCCCTAATGTTGCTGCTGTGGACTGTTGCAAAGGCTGTATTTGGTGTCAACCTGAATACATGTGGAATTGGTTGATTAGGTCCACCTGTGAGGGATTTTTCTTCATTAAAAAATTTATTAAATCATATGAAGTCTTTTGAGATGGGAAGATCTACCTTTAATTTGGGTCATACATTCTAGTGGCAGCCTATATAAAGGGCATGGAAGGAGGAAGCTATTTGCTCTTTGCTTGCTTGCCCTTGCTCTTGCTAGCATATCCATTTCTTCACTGGCATTAGATCCTACTTCTTCAGGATTCCAGAGCATACTGAAGAACAACTGAGATATCTGGCCTCATGGACTGAACAACTACTCTACCCTTGAACTTTCTGTTGGTAGATAGTCACTGTTAGACTTGATAGACCATGGCCTGTAAGTCACTCTAATAAATCCCCTTTCTATATATAGTGAGATAGATTGAATGATTCTATCAGTTCTATTCCTCTAGAGAACCTTGACTAATATAATTCTGCTGTAATCAATATTGATGTGCAGATATGTCCCTAATATAATAAGTTGAAATCCTTCTTGTAAATATCCAGGAGTGGTATAACTGGATCATGTGGAAGATTGGTTTTTAATTTTTCAAGAACCTCCATTGTGATTCTGTTGTGTTGTGACTCTAGCAAAAAGCACACGTGGACACTCTTATGGCTGAATAGAAAGTCTGTATTTCTGGCCAGCAGCTGCATGGGAAACCTGCACAAACCATGCAGCCCTGAGCCTCAACCTGCACAAACCATGCAGCCCTGAGCCTCACTGCCTCTGGTCTTTAAAGCACAAAAACTATGTCCTGGATTGACATGCTTTAGTGAGCAAGAACAGTTTGCAAGAAGCAG